GATCCCCGCACAAGTCTCCCGGCTCTCAGGCCTGCACCATACCCACCACAAGGCAAAGCTTCCCCCACCTGTTAGATCCAACCCTGATTCATGCTCAGTCTCAGACTAATCTCACCGGGATCTGTCGTCCTGCCCTGTGCAAACTCAGTCTCTTTGGACACTGTATGTGTAAATGCACACAGATGACTCAGGGGCATGAGAGGCCCTTTGCATTCTTAGGTTCCTTTGTTTGCACATACAGAAACGTGTCCAGAACTAAGGAAATCCATTGCTTCACTTGCTGTCCCCAAAGCATCCTGTTGTGGGGCTATTAAAACAGCTGCTGCGTTCCACCCCAGAAGTGGCTGCATTTCAGTAGGGGTTCTTGCAAACAGCTCTCTGTATGCAGGTGTTGGCATCCCCACCAATGCTCCCACCATACTGGGGTTAATGTAGGTGGCACAGTCAAGAGTGAAGATGGTGGGTGATGCCGGGGGGTTGGCATTGGGGTGATTTCTTCCATGCGGCACTTCTCTTAGTCTGCATTCAGGGTTAGAGCTAAGCAGGAGTAGAGAGTTGGGAGCTGGGGTTTCACTTCAAGCTCTTAGCTGTGCCCTTTGGCTCTGACTCCAAACTTCCCCAAGGGGGGCACTGGGAGCCAGGATCCCTTCCTCGCACTGGGGTGAGTCCTGCTGTTGTGCCACTTGCAGAATGGAGCCCGGAGCCAAGCACCTGCCATCTTTCCCTCCCCAACCCTCTGCTGTGGCTCACGGCAGGTGCAGCTGCTGCGCAGAAACAATCAAACAGGGTGGCAATCGCACCAGTGTAAAATAACAGCCCAGCAGAGTTGGGCTTGGGGGGTGGGGAGAAGCCCAATATAATGGAGATATTCAGGGCTGTGACTGCAAGAATGCAGGCCATGATGGTGCCCAGCACATGGTATACAGGACTGCTCCAGCCTGCAAGAAACCACAAAGGATTTCCCAGCCAGGGCAGTTTGCTACCCAAAGAGGAAGTGGGGTGGAAGGGACTGCAGAGGAGTTGTAGGAGGCTGCGAGATTCATTGCAAAAGCTCAGCAGAAATGCCCTAGCTGTGTTGGGGGACAGGCTCCTTCTGCAGAAGCCTACACACTTCCCTTCTCCCACATCACTGCCCACAGACCCCTGTCTGTGGGTGTCTGTATTCGTGCATGTATCAGCGCATGGGGCTGTGCAGTATGCCAGTGTGTGCCCTGATGTTTGCTCTGTGCATGTCTTTACATGTGTTTGCATAGGCTCATGGGTTCCAGGAAAAGTGAATACCCAGAAGCAATCTGTTAGCCTTAGGTACAAGCCAAGGGCGAGGTGTGGGGGGAATCTGGGGTCTCAGCTTAACTACTGTTGTGTCTCAGGGCATGCCTGGCCAGCATGAGAAACACATGGGAGCAGGCAGGATGAGCTTCATCCTTCACTGCAGCTTCGGTCAGGTGCAGGGCGCCTTTGTGAGTCACCATGTAGGAAGCTTGCAGAGAACTGGGTGATAAAAATATTACCTGGCAAGTGGGCTGGAGAAGCTGGGGGCAGGAAGGGCTTGGGGGAGGGTGCTGTCCTGTTTCAGCCTTTCTTCAAATGCTGTCAGCAATGCAAGCAAGATATTGGACTGCAGAAGGGCTGGAATGAAACCCTGGGTGCAAATCAGTGTTACACACTCATCTAGAGTTCTCTGGGTGTGTGTGGCTGCATGACCGGGATGTTGCAGAGGTCGAGAGTGTTCAGAGAAGGGCACTGAGAAGGATCAAAGATCTGGGGAAATCTCTTTTATGAAGAGGCATGGGCGAGATGAAGATCAGTTGCCTCACAAAGAAGATGGCATAGGAAGGTTCTGCACAAGGACAAATAGTGCAGTGAAGGGAGTTCGTGGTTCACAAGTGCAAGAGCAAGGGGGCCATTTCATGAAGCTCGCTCGGTGTGCAATTAGACTGAGAGACTCGCTGCCTCAAGCTATCACCAAGGCCAAGAACCTAGGAAGAGTCACAGAAGGACCCAACATCTGCATGTGCAACAGGCATATCCAGAATGTGAAGTTTGGATATGGAGTTTGGGAGAGATAAAAAGCTTCCTGCTGCAGGGCTTCAACCAGCGTACGTCTGAGAGATCTGCCTGAGACTGCCATGGTTTTAGATGGTCCTACACATGACTACTGTGTGGTTCCTGCCCCGTCATCTAAAACAGTTGGTTTTGGCCTCTGTTGCAGATGGGCCACTGGACAAGATGAAGGGTGGGTCTCCTCCGGCCTGGCAGGTCCTGCCTTCCCATGGAGGGAGCTGCAGGAGATTGATGGTGCCTGGTGGCCAAGGTGTTTGCATTCTGGATGGGTTGTGTGTGGACTACTTCTTCCTGCTTGCAGATGCAGGGGGTTCCTCTTGTGGCCTGCATTAGGATATTGGGGAGCTGCTCTGGGGTCCAGGCAATGTGTTAAGAAGGACCATGAGTGCATACCTGTTCTGGACGTTGTGGGAGCTGCTTCCTAGATCACGTGTACACCCACAAAGGGGTTGATCTGCTTGAGGGCAAGCGCAGCCCGCAGAACCCTAGTAGCCGCGGTCATTGTCCATAGGGATATCCAACCCACAGAGACTGCAAGTCTCAAAGTGCGGTGCACCCGTCGTGCCACCTGCAGCCTTGACAGGCCTCAGCGTGAAGCAGCTGCTATCCTGCAGAGGCAGCCTGTTGGCTCTTGGTGAATTAAAAGCAGTGAGCCTTTTCCAGCTAGCGGCAGGCCTGGCAGCCAGCTGTCACCTGCTGCAGATCAGCATTACATGCATGAACCTCGAAGCGTAGGGAAGGAGTACATGCATCGGCCGTATGCCTCCCTTCCGCGACTCACTTCCTCCTCTAAGGGCCGAAGTTGACCAACTTTAGAAATATCAGGTCCTGAAACCAGCTGAAGGAACCTCTCGGGGGGAGGGGGGTCTGAGGAAATCACGGGGGCAGTTTCCTGCGGGCTTGTTTCCATCACGCCCCCATTTTGGTCAAATTAGAAGGTCTGACGTGCTGCTATGGGCAAAGAGGGTGGAGACTGTACGGGCAGTAGCTATAGCCGATCATGGCGGGGAATTCCCCTTTCTGAGACACTGAAACTAGAGTGGAGGCAGGGGCGTGGGTGGGAAATCTGTCCCGGGGCTGATCCTGAATTCCTTACTTAAGATAAATAACACTGATCCCGTCAAAAAGGGCCCAGCCTCTAATCCCTAGGCTGGGGCAGAAGGGGGCATGGCTTCTCAGTAGACCTAGGGGACAGGTGAAGAAGAATTTAGGTTGCAAGCTCTTTGAGGTGGAGGCTGGTGTTTCATAGAGTCATGGATGTTAGGGGCTGGAAGGGACCTTACAGATCATCGGGTCCAGCCCCCCTGCATCTACTGCACCCCGCTTTCTTACTACTTCCAGGTTCTGGCACAGTGGAGCAGGCACTGGGTGGGTGTGGGATGTGGGTGTATGTGTGTGGATGTAAGTGGGTATGTGGTTTGTGGGGGGCTGTGAGTGTGCCCCCTCACAGTGGGGGGGAAGGTGTATGGGGAGGGTTGCGGCATGAGTGGAGGGGCAAGGTTGCACTGTTGCAATAGTCGGAGGGGGAAGGTTGCACTGTTGCAATAGTAAAAAATAGGAATAATAAATAATAGGAAGAAAGAGGACCTTCATCTTTTACAAGTGGCCACATGTCACAGGGATGAATACATCATGAGCAAATCCCTGCTATCCCTGAGGTCTGGCTGTAGCGGGGGGGGGCACTTTTGAAGCGTGTTCAGGGAGTTCCTCTGACTCCAGCAGTCCTCTGAGGAGTGGTAGACAGCAGACCCTCATGCCCGACACCTCAGGGACTTCTCCACTTACCAGGACTGGTGGGATGGGCGATCCTCTCACAGGTGAATGGTTGAGAGCCGGAAATGGCGAGCTCTCTTGCCCAGGTAGTAATAGTCAAGATGCTGCCAACGATTTTTCCATCTGCAGAAGGAAGGAGGGAGGGAGGAGGCCATGGAAAGTAAGTCACAGGCTGAGGGGGTGAGGGGAGCATGCTAGCGAGATTGGGGGGGACTGGTTGGAGTCCCATGGTACAATAAGCCCATCAAGGAATGCACAGGCCTCCCTTTCCCAAGAGGATGGGAGGGGAGCTGGGATGTCCGTGACTCTCATTAAGGGGTTAACCTGTGGTTGTTAGCTTCCCACCACCGAGCTTGGGCGAGCCAAGGAGGGTTGTGGTGCTGCCATGGCCCTCATGCATGTCTCACGGGAGAAGCGTGAGCCCGTGGTGTGCTCTCCTCCTCGTGCTGCCCCGTTACTGGACCCCAGCGGCTCTGAGCACTGTGAGAACAAGCGATACATGGTGTCACCCCTCTTTATCCTTCCCTTGGGGTGACGCTGCCTCTCCGGTGCACTGTAAATGCACCACTCCTGGGTATCAGAACCAAGTCTTGCAGTGAACAGAGAAGGATGCTGCTTCCAGCCTCAGGAGAGGTCTGACCCTGGCATTGCTGAGTCCCAGCCTGGCCCCAGACCCCCACCCAGCCCAACCTGCACAGCTGGAGGTCCTAACTGCCCCGCTCTCCTTCCTAGCTCAGCTCAAGTTACCACAACAGCAGAAAGCCATTGGTGTCATCACAGCAGCTGGAGGGGGAGTGATGGAGCCTAGGGCTTCCCCTTGGTGTCAGCAAGCAGGGCTTAACTCCCAGTTCATCAGCTAGACAGGTGTTCGGGAGCCCTGCTGCAGCACAGCCACTGATAAGTGATCAGGATCAGGAGGGAATATGTTTAATTAACCCTCCCGGAGACTAAATTTACAGGTGGGACTTCGGCAGGGCAGAAGGGTTTGTGGAGAGAAGCTCGACTGTTGGGGAGATAATCCAGGCTGGGGATTTTATTGTTGATTTCTAGGCTATGCAGAACCATTTGGTGCATCTTTTTTGGGTGCCACGGGCTGGCTCAGACTGTGGCCACATCCTCTGGCTCCTAGTGGGTTAGCCCTGACCTGCCTCTTCCCATTGCAGCTACCCCAGATGTGACGGTCACCCTGGATCCCCAGCCAGTTGCTGCCTGACCTAGTGTTCTTAATGCCTCCACCGCAGCGAGCGGCTGTTCCTGAGCATTTGATCCCCGGCTGAAATGCCCCACCGCACCCGACACGCAGATCTGGGCTCCAGACCAAGCAGCTGGCCACACAATGAGGTAAAATGCACGCTGGAGGCCAACAAGCTGAACGGATTGGAGGGAGGAGGTGACAGCAGGGCTTGAATATGTGTTTGGGGATGGCGGGTGGGTGGGGGAGCACAGGATGGGGACTGCATGCTGCGGAGAAAATAAAGCACTAAACCATCCTAGCTGAGAACAAAGAGGATCCTGGTAGCGTGCTTGTTTCCCTGCTGCCCTCGGACAGCTCCACAGCTGGAGCATTGTGTGGGTTATTTTCTGCAGCTTGCTGGGGGTTCTCTATAGAGCAGTCCAAGCTCCAGAGACTTGGATATGTTAATTCAGACGGAGTAAGGCTGCGTTCCAGTCTGCTGACATCTACCTGGTGCAGGGGATCTCAGGCTGCGGGGCAGGCATGTTGCCTCCGCCAGATGCTGTTGGGTCTGGTATCGGTTCCGGCTTCCTTGGACATCCCATCTTGGTTTGGACATCCCATCTTGGTTTGGGAATGCCCCTGGCTACAGATGAAGCCTGATTTCCCCCCCCACCCCCAGGGGAAGGGTGACTGGGGGGAGCTGCTGACAGTCACCGCCTTGGATTTCATGCCAGGGGAGGGGATGGAGGGCTGTTAATAATTGATAGGAGCTGGCTGGTAAAGGCCCCTCTCTATTTACTCTTGCATTTTCTTCCTTCTCTCTTTCCCAGTCCATCTGGCCTCCTTGGGCTGCACCTCACCCTGTCGGTCTATAAGTCGCCATCTGCTCTTAAAGGCGAAGTGTGTTGTTTCTCTGCGGTGCACGAGTGCTCCTGTTCCCTCACCTCGAGGGATTATCCCAGGCCAGGCTGGGTCCTGCTCTCTAGCAAGCACATCTCCACTCAGGCCTGCTCCCCGAAGCAGATCCCGCAGGCTGTAGCAGCCTGGCATTGCTATGGGAAGCTCAGTGATTTGGAGGAAGGGCTGGTTGCTGTGCTGTGGAGGTCCTGCACCAGCGATCCCAATCCCTTCAGACTGGCAAGGAGCCGATGAGCAAGCTCTGTAAGCTGAGCAACACGGCAGGGCTCGCATCCCAAGTCTGGGCTCCGGCAGGTCCCTTTTTCGCATGTGCCAGGAGACTGGTGATGTTGGCTGGCTAGCAAGAAAGGACTGGACAGCGCTGGCAAAGTCTCCCCAAGGGAGACCCAAGCCAGGACATCTCAGGTGCCTCAGAGTAGGGGGAGCTGGGGTGGGTGCTGGTCTATGCAGCATTGGCAAAGCTGAGCACAGAATACATTCCTTTTGCCATGAGAGACCAGAGCTAGCCCAGCTGATGCAAGCTACACTTGAGGCATGGGGGCTAAAGGGGGGGATCACAGTTTAGGGTTAGGATGGTACCATGCCCTTAAGCAGCCTGGCACTGCTCCACTGGGGCTTTGGATGCTCCTTTGAGCTTTGGGGACTGTTGAGGCACAGCTGCCTCCCTCTTGGGGCTTGGCAAAGAAGGAGGGGTCTGTGTGCCCGCTGGAGTGTGGCAGGGTGAGCGTCCTCCCAGGTGCTCCATCCTCCGCCCAGCCTGGCAGCTCCGCCGGTGTCGATGAAAGCAGAGACAGATGGAGAGAGCAGCGCAGGGCTCAGCTGGGACCAGAAAGCATGGAAATGGCAGAGAATGGGCTGAGGCTCCTGTTACAGAGACAAACAGAAAGGGCAAAGGGGTGGGTTAGGAAGAGGGGGTGAGGGTGGGAATGAAAGGGGAGGAGAAGGGGGCCATGGCAGAAAGAAGAGCCAGATTAAGAGGTGGCAAGGGAGTGAAGGGAATCGGCTGCAGGGGGCTGGGGGGGCAATGAAGCTGGATGGATCGAGGGAAACGCAAAGCACACGGATCTCTTGTATCTTCATTCCAGCCTCACTCATCCCTTCTCACCTCCCCCTTCCCCTTGCTCATGGTGTCAGTCAGCCCCACACCTGTTTGATTGCTTTATTATTAGCTTTTCTTCTTGCTGATTGTCTAATTCTGGTGTGCCATTTGGAAGAAAAAGCCCTCCTCTCTGAATCTGCTATTAAAGCCAGCTGTTTCTCCCTGTGCAGGAGGGGTGGCTGGGTCTGTCCCAAAAGCTGTTAATCTCCAGGAGCAAAGGCACTCGACACAAATTATTCTGAATCTATTCTAATTGGTTTTATTTCCTCCCCCTTCTTGTAAAATGAATTTGTTTAGATGACAAAGTATGTATCTGTGTGTGTGTGTAATTACCAATGAGGATCTGCATATGCTCATTTAGTTTTTGGCAGCTACATGGTGCTGCTGATTAAGGAATATGAAATGAACCTGCAATGGGAATTTATGGGCCAAATTCTGCTTTTTTTTTTTTTTTTTTTTACTGCTGTGAGACTCTCTTGCCCAGGTTTCTTCAGACTGCAAAGTCTAACTGAGAAGGGCATTCAGTTTTAGACATTGTAATACTCTGGTGTGCTTGTATTTTGGGGGGGGGAAGGGTATGGCAGTGCCCCCTGCTGGGTAGAATAGACACTGTTCAGCTGTGTGTCATAAGTCCTATATCCCCAGCTGTGAATAAGGGGACTTGTGTAGCACTGTCTTCAACTTCTAAAGCTTTTGGAGCAAAGGCGTGCGATGTATTCTGTGCTCACCTTAACTGCATATGGGGTAAGGGCATAATTCTGCTTTACAGTATAACAGGATACTGGTCCCAACTTGCCGTAATAGACTCTGGTGATCTACACGTTGCTTCAGTGCATAGGGACGCTCAGCCTCTGTCTACTTTGTAAGGGAAATGCTGTGTTTAATTGCAGAATTAGTGGAAAGCTGCCAATTTGGGGAATTTTAAAGCAAGGTCCTGTCAGTTTTGAAGCTGCTGTGAGAGGCACGGGGGACTCGGAGGTGTGGAAAGCTTAGCTAGGCTGCTTCGTACAGAGCTGTGCTTACGTGGAGTTTGGGTAAGCAGGCAGCTTTCTGTGCTTTTGTGTTTAGTCCCCAGGCTAAGCGTGTGTATGGCATACTCGGTGCCTGTTCAGGGCAGGGCTGTGACATCTCCCTGTAAAACAAGTGATTTGTTCTTGCCCAGGAAAATCAAGCATGGGCCGCATCCTTTATCTGGAACCACTCAGGACCTGAGATGCAAAGCTTAGATTCAGAAAGGGAGCTCATTGATGCCAAAGCCTGGGCATGATCTTTGCATCTGAAGGCATAGTTGGGGTCCTAGTCTGTCTGAGACATGAGGTTCCTGATGCAGGTGTCATCTAAGGACCTTGCAGAGGCAGAATACCAAAGAAAGAGCTAGTGCGGTCCTGGAAAAAAGATACCAGTTGCTGCAGTTTTCTATGCTTTTCTCCATGGGCAAAGCCCCAAGGGATGAGAAAGCTCAGAAGATGTGTTCTTCAACCTGAGAAGGCTCCTTGCTGTCAGATGGCCAGGGACACCTGGGAATAAATACTGCTGCATTCTTGGCCTGAGTGAACAGGATATGCCTTGTAAATCTCTTTAGCCATCTGTGTCCACTAAAACTCTAGCTAAATAGGTCCCTCCTTGACTGATCAGTGATGACCACTGACAAACCTGGCCCTCTTTCAGCTGCAGAACCCAGAACGGTTTGCAGAGAAGGGCGAGTACAACTATCCTCACTTCAGTAGTAGGGAAACTGAGGCAGAAGCTGACGTGACCTAAAGAGGCAGAGCAAGCTTGTAGAAGAGCTAGGATTTGGAGCGCAGGTCTTTTTGCAGCCAGCTCCACTGCAGAGAATTGGGTTTTTTTGGTATGAAGGCATTTAGAAAGGTGGAAAGGCCAGAGAGAGTTGTATTTTCCCTGTCTACAAGCTGCTGGGCACTGACGGAGCATGGAGAGAGAGTCCATGGGAGAGGAAAACTCAAAGCCTTTTGGGGGGAACTGATGCTTCATACTTGGACTGTAAGTTTTGAGGGGCAAGAACTGCTTCCCTGTTTATACAGTGCCTAGCACAGTGAGACCCTGATTCACACTTGATGCTCTCCAGGGCCTCTGTAATCTATAATAAAAGCAAAACGATTCCTAGAGGGGAAGAAAAAGATGGAAATGCTTTTCTGGCTGCATAGCTCTGTGCGTGCTTCAAGGAGAGGGGGCAAGCCCTAGGCCGCAGCAGAGAGAACAGACAGACAAGGTCAACCCGTCACACTTTTCCTTGAAGAAGCAAGGACTTTTATTTGTGCTGATTATCTTTTATTGGATCAAGTGCACTGCTGGGAGAGATGACAGATGAGCTTCCTCAGGTCACAAGGGCACTTTGCGCTTGAAAGTTTTATCTAACGTCTCTCCCACCTCTGCAGCTGGTCCCGTAAAAGGTATCGCCCCCCGGCCCCGTTGCTTCTCCTATGTGTCCTGGCCCATTTTGGCGATAACAGCACCCCAACCCTACTACACGTTTCCTTGTCTTTGCAAGGAGATTTAGGCTTGGACGGCGTGTGGTTCTTGGTTTGCGGTCACCAGAATGACCTGCTAAAACTAGAGGCGCTGCCTCCGCTTTTAACCGGGTGCTTGGTTTGTGTGATATCATCCTTATTCCTGGCTGATTTAGTGCGCAACCTCCCCTCCCCATCCCAGCATGTGTGTGTTTTATACACACGCACTCCCTTTTAAATGTAACCCCATTCCCTAGAGCTCCCTGGATGCCTGGGCTCGTTGGATGTGCTGTCCTTTATATTTGGACATGCCCCAGATAGCACCCGGCAGCCTGGCTGGTTGAGGTCATGGTGCTATTAGAGGCTGCAGGCGAGAGGGAGCTGAGTACAAGTGCCTGAGCACCCAGACCAACTTCAGACTTTCTCAGCCCGACGAAGGGCGTTTGTAACCGAAAGCTTGCAAAGAAGAATTTTCCCAACTGTGTGAGTTGGTCTGAGAAAAGGTATCGGATTTACCCAAAGAACGTCTGCCCACGTCCTTAGACCACCACGGCTACAACCTACACCCCTGAGCACCCCTCCGATTTGGGCCTCGCTTTCCCTAGCAGACTATCGAGGGACAAACCGGCCCAGCCAATGACACACGGCAGCAGAGCATTACCTCATCAGGGCACTCACTCATTGGATGGACAATGCTTGGAGGACAGGGCACCGTTACCCAGCAACTACCGAGAACGAATTAACCCCTTGGTGGCTGTGGCATGTGCAGCAGCGAGAATGGCAGCTTGCTTCCCATGGCGGGCTCGTCCGTAGGGCTCAAGGCCTGGCTGCTTGCTCCTCGGGGATCCTGGAGGGCAACCGAGGGAGCAGGGAGACTGGGGGACAGCGAGAAGAGGGAGGGGGAATGGCCAGTCGGTATGCGCAAGCGAAGGCAGCCAGGCCCTGCGTGAGCCTCCTTGGAGCAGAGCGAAACCTGCCTCGGCGTGAGACGCTGGGAGGGCAAAGAAGCCCTTAATTAGCTGCTTCAGGGTTGGGGCTTTATTAGTGGGATAAAAGGTTGTTAGGGAAGAATTAAAGCTCCCAGCCTCCAGGTCCTGGGCAATTACCAGCGCAGCCGGGCTAAGCCGTGCTCAGGAAGGCACCCTGTCTGGTTTGGGGGGGCCTCTTGGCCCCCACCGTTTGCTGACTCCCTCCTCTTCCTCAGTCGGGGCCTGCCCAGCCTTTCCCACCTGCTGCTCCTCTCCTCTGGCCAAGCCCCTTGCCAGAGGAGAGGCTGCATGGGGCTGTCTGGACGGGCGACTCCGCAGCGCCTGTTCTGAATCGGGGTACCCGCAGCATGAGCGGGCAGACAAGCCCAGCTGCCCCTTTGTCCCCAAGTCACACGGCATCCTCCTGGGACGGGACACAGCTGCAATGCCTGTCTGCAGAGCCTGGAGTGCTGGACCAGCGCTGACGAGTCCGTCCTCACATCCGCACTTGCGGGGATGACCAGCATCCTTCACATCCCTCCGAAGGGACACCCAGGCCTGGAGCTACGTCACCGTCGCAGCCTGAGCCCAGGACCCCTGTCTCAGCCTCCTGCTCTGAGCACTAGCCCAGTACATGGCTCTATCTCCGAGTGCTCTCGTGACCGACCGATTGGGGTCCCACCCTGGTCCTCGCATGCAGCTCTCCTGGCCTGAGGGCCCGGCAGATGCTCATGGACCAGCTGCCCACCGCAGCCACAGGCTAAGTGCTGCCACTCTGCTCCAAGTCTCTCTGCTGCTCAGGATCTGGTTGCTCCCTCCCCGTGTCTCTACCCAGCTGAAACCCCTGGCCCACACCCTGCCCCGCAGGGCCTATACTTACACCAGCTTGTGCTTGTACTGGCAGCAGCTCGGCCAGTGGACGGACTCCACCTCGGACACACCAGTGTTCCCTGGGAGGATGAGCAGTCGCTGGCTGGGGGTGCGCCACGTGCTGCCAACTGGGTACCGCCTCTGTGGGCTGACCCAATAATCCTGCAGGCCCCGGCGGCTGGAGTAAAGAGAGTGCAGGGCAATTCTGCTTTTGCTGCTGACAAACGGCATCTCCAGGTCAGCTCTGTAGGGTGTCAGGGCCCTTGGCCTCCTGCAAGGAGAGAGAGAGAAACCCATGGCATTTATATAGGGAAGTTTCTGCAGGGGACTTATCCTCTAGCTCACTGCCATTGAGCTCTTGCTGCCCCTGGGTGTAGGATGGCTGCTGCCCCAACCACGTTGCACTCCCGCCTGGGCACCTGTTTCATGGAGCAGAGTGTGGATTGGATCCAGACTCCTCCTTGACTGTCTCAAACTGAGGCCGCCAGGCCAGCCAGCTCCTAGCATCTTGCATGTCCGTAGTGCTTGTCTTTCCAAAGGACTTTGCAAGCCTATTTAGAGAAGCGTGGCTTCAGCTGGCAGTGAAATGCAGCCACTTCTGGGGAGGAGCAGCAGTCCCATAGAGGTAGTAACCAAGGTTTGTCTACCAGATCGAATCTGCGTGGAAAGTCTGGGGAAGTAAAACCCAGCCACCCAGGACAGAATCTAGCTGAGACATTTTCTCTTGAGATCAGTGCTGTCCAATTGCTTTAGCACAAATGAGTCCTTCCTTGCTGTCGGTCTCCATGAAGAAGTACCCTGCTAGCAGGGGGGGGGTGTAGGGGTATAGGGATCACAGATGTCCTGGGAAGCCTTCCTCTTGAGGGGATGCATCCTGCTCCCAGGCAGCAGAGGCTGTGAGAGCCTGAGTCTGAGGCGAGAACACAACCTGATCTGCGCTTCTCTTGTGCCTTAGCGAGCGGCCGGTGGAGGGGTGGATACTGCTCTCTGAGGAACCGAGATTTAAAGCAAATCTGGGGGTGGGGAATGACCGGGTTGCACATGGCTGCAAAGCCCTTGTTCCCTCTCCGGGAGGTGAGATGCTGTCTCCGGCTCACAGATCTCTAGGCACCATGGTCCCGTATCCCTGTGAAAGCAAAGCAATCGCACGTACCGAGAGAGAAGGTAGTTCGCCACAAAGTTAGCTGTCTCGAGGAACATTTTCTTCCGTCCGGGCAGCAGCAGTTGGGGGCTCAAGTGGGCTGGCTGTGCCTCTGCCTGCCCTGTGCCTCAGACTGATCTTTAAATGGCGAATGTATTCGGGGTGACCGCAGCCCCTGGGGCCCTAGGCTTATGTCTGCCAGAGCTCCTGTTCCCTGAAAAGTTATACTCCCTCAGGCCTGTTGAATCAGAATAACCCTGCTGTGCGGCTGGGACACGTGAGGGGATGCAGCGCTTGCACGTGCAGACAGGCCGACGTCTCAGGGCCAGCGTTCACCTGCCAGGCCACCTCCCCTTCTCGGAGCCAGCCTGCCCTCGCAGAAGGCACAAGGGCTGTAGCCCTGCTTGTGAGGACACGGGGCTGCCCTAGAAATGTCCTGGTGGACCAGTACCGTGGTCATGTAGCCCATTGGCTTTTGAGGGCCAAAAGCTCTGAGTCCTGGCACTGGGGCTTCACGCAGGGTTGGAGTAGTGAATGGCCCACCAACTTTGGATGCCCATTTTGAGAAGGGCTGGGACTGGTTTTTGGTGGTATGGAGCACCCACAGCTCCCGCTGCAGTTGATGTGAGCGTTCGGCACCCCTGGCAGTGACCTGAGGCCCAGATGCCTTGTATCGGGCAGCGCAAAATCAGCCGTGACCTTGGAAGATGTTGCTGTAAGCAGTTCTGTGCCCAGTTTCCCCTTGGCTGCGAGAGGGGGGATGATTCTGCTGTCCTTCCCCAGCCAGGACGGCGAGGGTTGAACTTGGAAACAACTGAGTGCTCAAATAAGATTGGCCGCAGCAAGTTTGGGGCTCAGCAGCCAGAGGCTGGGAGCTGCCTGGATCCCAGGGATCCCATCACTTCCACAGACCTGTGCCCACCTGGGCAGCTGCAGCCGAGATATCTGTTCTCTGACTCCACCAAAAAGGGGCTGCAAAGCCCAAGGCCAGGGTGTCTGGAGAGAGGAAGGAGGGGGCAGCAGTTTCGCTTCACAGTGAAGAAGGCAGGAAAAGGGGAAATGGGCTTCACTTCTCTTTCTCTGGGGGAGATTGATGACGCAGCATTGGCAAGTTTTGTCCCTGGGCAAAGCAGCCTCCCTGCTTCCTTCCTTAGCAGGGCAGCTTGTTTTTCTCTGGATTCCTCCGAGCAGCTTCCCTGCTCCAAGCCCTCCGTTCTCCCAGCGCTGTGCTGGGATGCAGCTCCTCACCTCATTAGGCACAGGTGCAGGATTAGCCGTAATTGCCTGTGCTTTGATGTCCATAGCCTCCTCCCAGAAGGATATTCCATTACCTGCAGCAAACTTGTGCCCAGCATCTGGTTGCTAATCCCTAGGATTAGAGAGGCTGGGGCCTCGACAGATGGAGCCCGGCCAGGGGTTCCACGTGGCTCAGTTCACCAGCAGCTAATGCCCTCCAGCCAGTCCACAGCCCCGGAGCCGCCCTCTCTGGGAGCTGGCTCCAGGCTGCAGTCTCTCCTGAGGGGCAGGGGCTCTCCCGTGGCCTGCTGTGGCTCTGGGTTTTTTTGGATTTACACTCCAGGACCTTGCTGGCCTGTCCCTCTCATCCCCTTCCACTGAACCCAGGCAGGATCTCTATGCTGCGAGCACTTCTCTGGCAGTGAGCTTCCTCCCAGCAGTGCCCTATCAAGCCGGGATGCCCACGTGTTTGCTTGTGAGAAGGGGGCAGAATGTGGACAGTCCCAAACCGAGGATCAAATCATGAATGGGCTGATCGTCCCCTGCCTGCAGCCATGCCGCGAGCATCTGTACGTCACAGACTGCTCCACTCATCCATTCTCCCAAGGTCTCCTTAAGCCCCCGGGAAAAACCCTGTGACCAGGGGAACTCCTGCCCTGGGATCTCCCAGCCACACCCTGTGGCACTGGAGAGAACCCAGCTGGTTTCCAGCAGCCTGCAAGATGCCTGGGGAAAGTCCCTGGTATGCAGAAGACCGGCTGCTAAGGGAAATGGAAACCAAACCTCCCTGCAAGGAGAGGGAAGGAGCCTTCTGGGAATCCAGCCACCCACTGCCGCACCCTGCTGCCCTTGAGAGCTACAGGGCACAGAGCTGCTAAAGGGACCTTGCACCTTGCGGTCCCCTCTCTGTGCGTGGAGGAGGGTCTCTGCACTGTAGAGTCAGGCATGCATCGTGGACCACTAGGCTGCATCGGGTCCGGACAGGCAGGGCTCTTGCCGCGGCTGCTCAGAAATCCGCGGTTTTTGGGGTGCCGCAGAGAAGCGGAAAGATACCATGAGGCTCTAATAATGACGTTTGGGAATGACCGACTGAGGGAGCCATCCTCCCTGCCTTCTCTGAAGGGCGCCTCTAATTTGGTGCCTAATGTCCCGTGACTCAGCTTATCCCGCAGGGAGCTCCCATGAAGCCTCCGATTGGATGAGGCCCGCGCGGCGGAGCAGTCGATGAGCGGCATTACGGACGTGACTCCCCTGGGTGGCCCCATGGCGTCACGTAGGCTTTGTCTGATGCTGGTCTTTGTTTGGCCCGAAGGACAGCGTTGGTCCGTATGATGGGCCTCGGGGACCGTGGAACAGGAGGAGGTGGACGGGGCATTGTGCTGGGGTTGTGCTTCGACACTGGAGGAGGAGGGTTTTCCTTGGGTGCTTGCCTTGGCCTTGCTCTGGGAATAGTTTTCAGCCAGGCATAGACCTTACCTTCTTCCCTAGTGTCCCAGTGCTGAGCTCTTGGGTTGTGTTTGAGAGGGGGATGGGGTGCCAGGGCTTGCTTAAAATGGTAAGGAAATGTAAATTCCCTTCTGTGCACCCACCTCTGGGGTCTCCGATGGGTCAGCTCCCACAGAGAGGCTGGTGTCCAGCGCTGCTGAGCTGGAGAGATGGTCCTTGAAACTGGTTTGCTTTCTGCTGAATGGCTGGAGGAGCCAGGGCTGGCATGAGCCCAGGCTGGGATCCCCAGAAGGCAGGTGCCTTCTCCCTGGGCAGCCTGCGATTCCTGTCTTTCTAGCAATACCTGAGAGTTTGGGGGAGCTGCAGCCTGTGTCCCTAGCAGCCCTTTGGCTGGTGCTCTCTGTGCTGGGATCAGCTGCCATGACATCGGGCCAGGCAGCCCAAGGGGCCTCTTCCCACCCCAGAAAAAGACAGAGGCATCAGAGAGAGGGAATGCCACAGGAGCGAGTGGTGCATTCAGGCCCAAGCACTCTGCTTCCAGGGAGCAGCTGCCTGGGTTCAGTTTTCCCCGCAGGGAGCAAACAGCTACAAGGCATCTCATCCTTCTAGCAGGGGACAAATCCCGGTCCCAGTCCTCCGGGCTCTGTGCCTTGCGGCCTATTGGCTTGCACTGCCTAAGTTGGAGCGTCCCAAAGAGCACGCCGAAGACACGGGTGCCCTTTGGCATGTGCTGGGATGTGGATACAGCATGCCGGGCCTTCCATTGGACTTGAGTTGCTAGCTGATATGCTCTGCTGAGCTTTATCGAATCTCAGAGCTTACACGTCGCCATTGCCCTGTCCTAAACGGTTTGCTCCGGGCCGGTTGTGGTGAGATGCGGCTGCTGCTCGGACGCTGAGAGGGCTCAGCCTCTCCCTAGAACCAGGGAGATGGTCCCTGGAGAGCTGACAATCAGGGAGGGCAACTGCGGGCGGAGAAAGGAGGAGCATAAATCACAATCGGTGTGTATCCCCAGGCTGATCTGGTCCCCAGTGCTGCGTAAAGCTGCCAGGTTAATGAAGACAGGCCGGGGTTGTAAACAAAGCAGCATAGAGCAGAGCAAGCCACGCTGAGAAGGGGCTGCCAGCTCCGCGTGGCAT